TTAGACAACATCATGTTGCTCAGATTCCAAGATACGTAGCAAATCTTAATTTATTAACAATTCTGTACAAGTTAACCGCATTATATATAATTTATTATCAGCTCTAACCTATAGCCTATCTTTACACACAAGTTCATATAGAATCTTATTATAAAGTATGTTTATCAAAAAATAATCAATATTATTACATTATCTGTAAAATAAATATCGTCAACTAAGCGGAAACAGTACTGTTCTGTACACAATATAAAGAAATATAGTGTTACTACTATGCGTAAACATTCATCAATTAATTGATCACCTGAGGATGTGGTTTGCACGCGTACCGGTTTCGAGGAGTCATTATCTCTGAGCAATCGGGTTCCTTTCTATAGCGTTTCGAATCTGGGTGGTTGTGATTACTTCTTTGTTTCATTTTTCCATAACATGATCTTTAGCACAAACGTCCCTCAAAATTGTCATTAATTTAGCGACATTATGGATATAAATTTAAAAATGTAGAACATTCATTAGAGCTTAAGTTGTCATTTAAACTTTAATGGACTGGGTTTTGGTTTGTTATATTATATATATGATGATGTTTAATATTATTTATGTATTAATATGCACATGAATTTAGGCGAGGGACTTAGATCGATGGGCATCCATTCAAAAGATGATATCTAAATTCAATAGGACCTTGGGATAGTAATATAAGGAAATGCAATAGAAGGCGTCTGGACACTACTACCATCTTATTATATAAAAAAAACATTTCAATTGACATATGTTAGAAAACTGTTAAATTTAGATTCATTTCAAATCCTTGCAATTTTATTATAATATGTTTTATACAAAATCTTCAGGAAATATTTCCGTTTTCAAAGAAACACAGTAGTCCTCAAAGCCGTCGTCACCAAATCCCTTGAGGGTAATTCAATCAATAATAATCTAAATTAATACATATCATTGCCAAAATTGCTTTTGATTTGGCTAATGTTAACCTTCCTAATATTAGCTATATTAGCTTCTACACATTATACCCCTGTATTTTCTCCTGACATTCATCTTCAGATCCATCTTCGTCACATAAGTATTCGATCTCAATCCTCAACTGAAATTCTAACTACTTAAACATGTTCATTATGAAGTTAAATATGTATTGAGTCCAGGCCGATTAAGCAGCATATAAAGTTAGAGGTACCTATATAAAGTTGTCACACATGTGCACAATAGAACTGATAATGATCACATGGACCCACCGCATTGCCGTATATCAAGTGAATGCTAAACAGCTGACATTTATAGTCTCATATTATACCACATAATAGCATATAAACTGTCTATGTACCTATGTATTGACGTTTCAGTTAGGTACAACAATTAAGAGCTGCAAATCACAAATTTGTTTAAAAAAAGTAACTTCACCACTTTGATAATAAGTAAAGGACTATTTGCACCATGATAGTTTTTTGCGCATGATATAAAATAATGGTAAAGAAATTATTGGTGTACAGGTATGTACAATGGCACAGTCTACGAGTAAATCATCATCACCATATCAGTCGTTCAACGCCCACTGTTGGGAATAGGCCTCACCCATGCGTCTCCACGACGATTGGTCCTGCGCTATCCGCATCGAGCGACTTCCCGTAACTTTTATTAAATCGTAGGTCCACCTGGTTGAGGGCCTACCCAATGAGCGTCATCCAGTATGTGGTCGCCATTCGAAAAGTTTTTCGCCCCAACGGCCATCAGTTCTTCTGTGTCATCATGTGTCCCGCCCTACTTCAGCTACTTCAGCTGAGCAATCCTTCGGGCAATGTCATTTACTTTAGTTTTTCTACGGATTTCCTCGTTTCTTCTTATTTCCCCGAAACACCAAGAATTGCTCTCTCCATTGCCCGCTCACTACGGAAGTAAAACGACCACGTTTCACTTCTGTAGGTCATCATTTGCAATACATACTGGTCGAAGACTTTTGTCTTGAGACATTGACGTAAATCGGACACGAAATTTTTTGTAGTTTCCTAAGCGCTGCCCATAACTCTTTCTTAAAGTTGAACTTGCCTAGCTGGACTGTCGGTCCAAGGTATACGTAATGGTCGACAGCTTCAAGTGTAGTATTCCCAATTTTATCTGGAGTAGGTACATCATGGGTATTTGGCATGATTTTGTTATTGCCATGTACCTCTTGAGATCCACTCTTTAAGAAGCACAACTGAGATCTTTCAGCATGGTGTTCATTTCCTGTAAGGTCTCAGCCATTAAAACTATATCGTCAGCAAAACAAACATGTGTTAGGTACTCGCCATTGACATCGATGCCCTATCCTTTCCAGTCCAGAAGCTTAAAAATATCCTCCGATTCTACGGTAAATAGTTTTGGAAAAATAACATCTCCTTGTCTCACGCCTGCCCCCTTAAAATAACATCAGGTCTGGTTCTGTAATCGAACCGACATAGTGGCATTTCAATGGGTGTAGTGGGTATTATAGCTATGTACAGCTTAAGAGATCTCCTCATGCAAAGCCTCTACTTCTTCATCTGGGTGCGTCGATGTCGAAGTGTAAACCTGTATGACATTCAACGAATATCGTTTTGATATTCTGAGTAGCAGGACGCTACCCTGATCGATTTACTTTCGATGGTAACCACATTGTTAACAAGGGACTGATGAATGATAAACCCGACCCTCCAAGTCGTATAACACGTTACCGGATTCAAGGTTGATCCGAGTCCTACCCTTCTCATCGGACTTCAGACAATCCTAGTCCAGTGCTATTGTAGCCGGCCTACAATAGCAACACATCGTCTCTTCACGTCGACACGCACGTCACATCTCAGTCTAAATACATCATAATAATTTATCAAGTATATAATATAAGTATATAAAGATGTATCTACTTTGTTATTATTATTATATTTGCTCTTTATTATTTCAATGTTTCATAAACATGCATAGTTTTACTTGAACACAATGCTAATGCAATCAACGAAGATGATATCTTGACTTCTTGAAAAAAGAAGAAATGGTCATTCGCTAGAAATATATAATAATCAATTAATTAGTAAAATACAATTCTTAAAACAACATGGCTTTGAATAAAATTGTGTATTATTGTACCATACCATAAGTGCATAACAAACATTGAATAAATCCTTGAACAAAAAACAAATGCTTGCGTAATAGATACCTATCATAATTTATTTAAGTTCAAAAAAATTTTGTTGTCTCATTATCTGAGGTGATTTACAATTATGTACCTACCCACTTCTAGCTAAGATTTTTATGAATAACACTCAAAAGTTTTGTATTGAATTTTGTAAGAAGGTTTCACTATAATTTTAATATTATATCATAGAGAATTTAAAAATTAAAGTCGTATAAAAATTGAACTGTCTAAAACTGTCAAAACACATTTGCATAAATACCTATATCTGATCTTTCATTCATTTCATTTTCATTTTACATGTAGAAATTTATTTATTCACTTGACATTGGCAGAATTGTGCGAAATGCGCAGATAAGCCATTAATAAAAGAAGAAGAAGAAGACCTATATCTGGATCTGTGAATAACGATCAGAGGTCATCGCCATCTTTCATTCATTTCATTTTCATTTTACATGTAAAAATTAATTAATTTACTTGACATTGGCAGAATTGTGCGAAATGTGCAGATAAGCCATTAATTAAAAAAGAAGAAGAAGAAGAACCTATATCTGAAAATTAAAAGCAGAAGGACCATAGAAGGACTCATTTTACATGTAGATATTAATTTATTCTTTTGTCCTTGGTAGAATTGTGCGTGCAGATAAGCCATTAATACAAGTAGAAGATATTACATTTTTATTCCATTTTCATTTAAACTCATTTACGTACATAAGATGGTGAATAAACGCTGGAATAATGCTGGAATACATATACCAAGTGATACCTCCGCCAAGTGAGATTAGGTAAATTTAAATCGATGCTTCCTTTATCGGTTAGTTTAGCTGTTCTTCTTGTCAGCTAAAAGACGTGTGAAAGGAGGTGGAGGACGTGTGAAAAGAAGAAGTGAAAGGGAAAAAAAATTGGACGATTCAAAAGTGCTTGTAACAAGCTTACTTGAATAAAGATATTTTCATTTCATTTCATACCATTTTATCTTCTCCTACTGTAACTAGTTTAGATCAGCTGCGTGACATTAGTACGTTTAGTGGTTTCATAATTAAAGTTCCATAGGTTCCAGTTGGTTGTTTATTATTTGGATTATTTAAGAAAAACTCGTATTAAAAATATTCGTGAAGTTGAACTAAAACGTTCAGGCTACAATATAAAAAAGACAATGTGCATAACGTGGTAGAGAATGAGTAATAAAATAGATATTCAGTTATTTATGGAACGATGCACCGCTGTTATAGAATATTTACCGTCACGACAATACGCTTGGTATTTCTGATCTATTTATAATTGAGCGTATAAACCGCAGTTTAACTTTATGACTATTAATATATCAATGTGTGTGTGTGTTTATATAAAGAGAATTGTCTAACTTTTAGCTATCTATGTATGTATAAACACCTTCACGGGTTGCGTGCCCTCGCAGCAGCAGGGCGATTCTATAAAAATCCAAACCCGAATTCACTGATGCCAAAAAACGTTATTACCGGTTCAACGTTGAGCGGATACCGCATTTTGAACTGAATGCCGGCACCAAAGTGAATTCGAGTTTGGGTTTGCACTTTTACAGATCCCGCAGGGCAGGTGGAGAGAACCAAGTGGTATATCACCTCTCATAACTATGACAGATCCGGGGAATGTTGTGAGTGTGACTGAGAATGCACGACTTGCCTCATTCCGTCAAGGCGGCCTCGCGCAAACTTCCGGCCCAGTGCTGGCAGTCGTCCCGCGTATACATGCCTGGGATCGAATAGGATGAACTGCAACAGTCACAACTCATACTTATATACCATTTAGTTAAGTTATACAAAGCCTTGTTAATTATTTCATTAAACAGTAACATAGAAGACATAGAGATTGCTACGTAGCAATAAGGTCGCCCTTTGTAATCTTTCTCTTTTTTCTATCTTCTCTGTATTATGTCCTGTCTAGCGTGCAATAAAGAATATTATTATTACGGAATAAAAATATGAACGATTTTGGATATTTCTATGCGGTTTACCCATATTTAGTAGATGATGGGACTTCCCTATAATATGTATTTACCTTGAATGTTATCACAATATTTGGTTTTCCTGAAATATCCTGACATGTGTCCTGAAAACCGTATAAATACGAGACATCATTACAAAATGTGTCATAATTGTTACAGGCGTGTTGAGAGCATGGTGTCGCGTAGGTGACCGGTCGCTTTATTGTAAGATGACAAGAGTAAGTGGGGGAAAGTACGATGGCTCCAGACTGCGAGGAGGCGGAGCGTCTGAACGTGGACTACCATCAGGAGCACCAGAGCAGGAGGATCCTGCCGCAAGAGCCGGTACCTACGCACGCGTGGATCGAGGAAGAGTTGGACCGGCCCGATAGTGCCACCAACAGCCCTGGCGAGAACAGACGATTGCTCAGCCCGACCAGTGTCTCCTCCAAATCAAAACTCCAAGCTGGTCTCACTCTAGCAGTGTGCAATGTTCCCAAGAAATATCCGCAGATTTCAAAATGTACCAGACAAAAAACGAAATTCGAAAAGAGAAAGGAGAAGCTAATAGATTTCCTCAGGCCGCCTTACTTCATAGTCTCGATGATTATTTTAATTGTAAGTATTTACCGGTCAGTCACTTATCAAAATTGTAAGATATGTTAATCTTACGGAAGATAACAATTATTTATTTATTTATAAGCAAACCGCTTTTAGATACGAGTATTTATTTGTTAGTATTTTAAAGTATATATTTTATTCAAATATTTTTATAATATCCTAAGTAGAGAAAACTGTTTACTATATTTGATCAATTTTCCATCTTTAAATTTCTATACATTATCAATATATTTGAAAAATGCTTAAAACTCTTTAGTTCGTGCATGCTGCTTGCGTAGGAAGTAAACTTATTTAATTTAAACGAGTTTTTATAATTTATTACAGATTTGTATACATCTTTGGTTGCCGGAAGAGGCACGCGCGTGGCTAGAGTGGTCGCCGGGCGCATGGCGCCGCGAGCCGTGGCGTCTGCTCACGTACGGCTGCGTCCACGCGAGTGCTGCTCATCTCGCGCTGAATGCTGTCGTAGCACTCGCTGTACGTATAAAACGAACAGTTCGATAAAATACTACAAATGTATATTAATAAGTCAGATATTATAATAGATAACAATTAACGTCTTCGGAGAGAGATGTTAAAAATGTGTGTGTTATAGGTGGGTTGGCGACTCGAGCGTGAGCAGGGTTGGTGGCGGGTGGTGATAGTGTGGGCGGGCGGCGTGGCTGCGGGCGCTTTAGGAGCGGGGGCGCTGCAACCGCGCGTGCGCGTCGTGGGCGCTTCTGCTGCTGTCTACGCGCTGCTCACGGCGCATTTGCCCAACGTGTGTCTCAGGTATGCGATCTAATCCTCAATTTCAAAACTATACGTTCAATACTTTTGCAAAGAAAATTCAAACCTCGTTATTAGAATTAAGGCGGAATCAACTTCGTATCGAATATTAATTAATGATGCTTCTCTAAAATAAGTACTGTCGAATTTTCATTCTTGCTTGCCTTCAGCAATCTCTAATGGGCGCTCGTTTTATAGATTCGGTCACATTCCTCTGTGGTGGTTCCGCCCGCTAAGTGTGCTGGTGCTGGGTGCGTCGGAGGGTTGCTGGGCGCTGGTGCGCGCGGCGCCGGCGGCGGCGGCGCAGGCGCAGGCGCGCGCCCCCCCCCCGCCCCCGCCCCGCCCGCGGGGGGCGGCGACCACGTGGCGTGGGCCGCACACGCTCTAGGAGCGGCTGTCGGTGTGCCGCTCGCGTTCATTGTATTTAGTGGTGAGTGCATATTAAAGTAGTATTAAAGCAGTTTATTTTTATCCACTATGTATTAGATGTCTTCGTTGGTCGGTCTTCGCTTTGTAGTTTCTACTTTTTTCGTTCTATAATCTAATATTTTTTTTCTATTATTGAGAGGTATATACTTATAAAGTCAACCTGTTTCTTTTCCAGGTGAAAACGATTCAAAAATCTTGGTGAAGGCGAGCCGCGTGCTGTCGCTAGGTCTACTGGTGAGCGGAGTGGTGGTCGCCGTCCTGAATTTTACACTTTGGAACGACCTCGACCCTTACTGAGAAGTCTGCTTCAATAATTCAATAGAAAATGACTGATAAACCTTCTGTCGGCAGAAGTAGGCTGTGAACGTCTTGACTAGGACAACGGGACTTCCACGTCCCGAGCACACATTAGAATTTCTTAAGACAGTGTATCAGAATCAGGAGGTAAACAGGAGTTGATCTAATAGGATGTATTACCTTTACAATCAAGTCAGGTCTTCGCTTATAATATTTATCTGAGAATGTGTTATCGCTTCAAATGTTGAAGGCAGTAGGTATGTTCACAAACATTCACATGCGAATGATTACGTTTCATCAGTTCACAACCTAATGAATAGCTAATATTGTTTCTTATGTTTTATTAACACTAAGATATTCAAAAAAAACGACCAACATATTAGTCTAAGTAATCGCGAAACCGTTTAAAAGTATTTTTTTAATGATTAACACTCTTCTTGTTTATATGACGGTGGATATTATAGGTATATCCGTTCGAACATGTCTTCTCATTGTGTATGAACTATTATATTATACTTCAGTATAAAAAGATCGGTACCATACGACATCTATTGATGACGATTTTATCGAGAATGAAATTAAAAAGTTAAATTTGCGCTTTTACGCTCCTGAGATCTTTATATATTCAGCGTGAAAGAAAACGTATTTTTAAGTGTCGATGACTAATTATTTATAAGTGCCGTCTGTTCGTCTGTTAATCGTAACGCTATCCGCAGATGATTATGATCTAAGATGTAAGGATAAAATACTATATAAATTTCATATTATCATAATATGAAGACAAAATATGGATAGTAATATTCTAAAACGTAAACTTGACGTCATATTACACAAACTTGTGTTCAATGAAAAGTGACTTAACACGAAGTGCAATTCATGAAAAGTACGAGTATGTATGCGACACTGATGCTGAATACATTATTATCGGCTAAAATATAATTTATAATATAATTGAATACTTCGGCTGATAGTAACTGTTACGTGTGGTGTGACCATAGAGGTCTAGTCCAAGATTCGATCATCTTCAGTCACAAATATTCAAAGTAAATTTTTTAAATTATGTATTTTACTAACAACTTACAGTCAAGTTCAAAGATAAACAAGTGGTTTGACACTATACCTATAAGTACTCATATAAAATATAAAGGCCATTATATTGTATACTTCTAAATGCATATAAATATGTAGACACAATGTTGTAAACATAAATATGTAGTCCATGGGCATTAATATATAAGCATTCGAAAATACAGATTATATGTTCACTTTAGGGTACATTAATTTGTATAGAAAACTCTATTTATGTTTTATCAAATACCGTAAACAGGGTCTATCTATCGATGGAGTTTCGTCTCTTTCATTTGATGTCATAAATCATGCAAAGAAATTAAGAGATTTTTCCTATTGCGCGGTTTCGCGTACATGTCCCGTTCATTTGTAGGTGGTAAAATAAAATGAAATCAATCCACCAAGCATTCCGTACTGAGCCCAATGCGGCTTGGTACCGCTAAAGCACGGATATTCTTAATGAATAAAATCAATTCATTCAATAGTCCTAACTCCCAATCCGGATTGGTGGTCCCAAATCACAGATATTATTCATGATTTAATGAAACCAATCCACCCAACCTTCCTCACTGGGCTCATGTGCAGGTACCCCATTGCAGACGGGTTGTGTATACAGTATTCTTAATGAATGAAACCCGTGATCATACAGATAGATAAACACTTTATTGCACGCATATTAAATAACAATTTGCAGAGAAATTAATGGTTAAAGTGGACAAATCGGTTTTAATCTTAATTATCCTAACTGATGATGCGTTAGCCATTTGATTGTTTATACACAGCTTTGATAATCGTGTGAGTATATATTTATGAGTATATAGTTGTCTCTAAGTTAATGAGGTACTTATGGATACATATTATTGCACGTGTCTGTTTACCAAGTAATGGTCAAATTATTGTATACTTATTTTTGTGGTTTTGCACGTTCCCATATCTATGGTAATTGGATGGTTACCTTGTGGTGTATCTTTGACCTCGACTGTACAATGAAACATGAACAAACGAAAATTCGTTTTAAATAATATCGTGCCATAAGATATCAGGGATACTTTAGAAGTAAGTTTATAATAAGTATTGTTTTCAATTTAAGTCAACAATAAAATAGTTTAACTAACTATAACGTTATATATACTATAACGTTATATTACTATATTTATATAACTATAACGTTATATGTTAACTTAGGCTACTATTACTTAGTTGTTAAGGATTCGATTTCGATGAAATCCGTTGTTTGTTTTGCATCAAAACGTCTGGCTAGTGATTCGTGTAATATAATTTTGTATTAGGTAAATTGCAACAGTTGATGAAGTCTTTGATATTATTGTTAAAATGTCATTAGGTTTAAGTACTTTTATATTTGGAGCACATATCGTTTATTATAATTTATAAGATTATAAAAATACTGTACCTACGTTTCATATGCATTTATGGAATTTGAGGCCAATCATCTACCCTTCTAGATTAAAACAAGGTGAAATCGAAGCAAAATATTGAGATGATATACATATGCAATTATTGTAGATTTTGCCTCAAGTTTTCGTATTGATATTTCGCATCTAGTTTACCAATGTGAAAATAATAATAATTCTTAAACAATTTTTCAATGTTTTTTTATGGAAATAATTCTAGGAACGATAAATATCATTTATCTGGATAATACCAAAGATTGTCTGTCTAGTCGTGCGCGACACAATAACTAAATTCACAAATGTACTATTTTTGGTACTTAACATACTTTTACTTACCTAATACTACATCAATATGTTATATACAGCACCATACCATACGAAAATATTACATATTGAAGGATTATAATTAATTTCTCGTGCCTGACTGAATATAATAGTCTTTTCTTAATAACAAATAATGTAATTTATTAACAAAAAAGTTCATAACAGTTGTCGAAGGTTGAAACCGGCTATTTAACAAATGTGCCTGAATAAAAACCTTTTGGGTTTAATATGAAATTAATATTTTAATTATAGAGGATTAATAAAGAAATGGTTTTAGGTTCAGTCAATATCTAGTCAAAATTTAATTAAACGAGATGGCTAATCCCAAGTTTTGTAATATAAGTAATATTTTCAGATTTTGGTTAACATTCAAGTAATTATTTAGATTGATAGTAAGTAACTCGATTAATGACGCCTGGTCCTAAAAATACTGCCCAGATGAAATCGTGAATTATTTTGTAAAACAGAGATTAAAACCACTGAAGTTTATGGAAATGTAAAACACTAGTTTTTATTCGTGAATATAGCAATTTCCCATGAAGTAAGAAAAGTAGTGCTCACAACATGTTATGTGTTTGATATACTTTTATAGATAATGTAAGTAGCTCTAGCATGTCGCCGTCGACGTGAAAGACTACTTTATTTGGGTCTACTTTATCATTTCTTTGTTGTTATTGTTTTGAATATCAATTTTCAAATATGAAAGTGGTTCTGTAGAGTATTGTAATTGGTTGTTTTATATCGAGGCCTCTTGTAAATCGCTTTGTGATACTTAATATTAAACTTGAACAAATTAAAGCCGCATTTTATTTATTCCGTTACATCATTTAACATATGTGCTTGATATGTTGTATTTTCGTGCAGGATCCATGCTGAAGTATGGCGTCACTATAATTTATAGAGGCGTCCTTTCCGAATTTAGCATTATATGGTGCAAGTGTACCTATAAAATGAATTCGTTGGGTATTAGATTATTTTTAAATTAAGTGATTTGCCCGTCTCTAATCTGAGGATAGTTTATGTGTACTTGTGTCTGAGGTTAAATTTGTATTTGATGCGCATTTGCGGCGCGGAGGATTCATGGTCCGCGCATACTAGTTTCAATGTCGTGCTGATCGCTGCGAAGTACAGTCATGGCCAATCCTTTGACTGTTGTAATTGCTGCAGTGTATTATTTATTCAAAAAGAAAGAAACGACAACGAAAAAGAAGAACACAACATGTTCATCCACTTTTGCTCAAAGATTAATAACGGGTGACACTTTTGAAACAGAGTTGAAAGGGATGACGATATCAAGTCCTTTAACCACTTTTGCATGCCAACGACAAATTTCGATACGTTAATTTATGATAAAGCTTAGTGATAAGTTACACAATGCAGTAGGACTCGTTTCTGGCATCTTTATTTTTGTAGAGCGCATCAGTGACAACACCGCTGACGGTCAGCGTGTTACTAAAACTAGTGCAAATGTGATCGGTCACAATTAGAAAGACGCTTAACTGTTATAAGGGTATAGCTGTAGAGGGAATAATGAGGCAGCGTTAAAAGTATGTTATGGTATGTATTATTCATAATTTTCTATAAAGATGTCGAAAACTCAAAAAATACACAAAAAAGAAAACAGAAAATGTAGTAAAAATAATTTATTTCTTACACAATATCATGGGTTGAGAGTGTTATTTCTAAATTAACTTAATTTAAAATACGAATTAATCTATCTTCTATACTATTTTGTTGAGGCAAATACTCGTAGGTAATTATAAAAAGATTTCAACAAAGTGACTTTATTCCATAATACAGATATTAGATTTTAACCAATCGTTAAACTCGTTATCTATATGTAAAACTTTTTGACTTTAGTAAATAATAAGTTTAAAACCATAGATATAAATCTGTTTAGTTGTGGTATTCTATTTGTGTATGAGATCGCGGTCTACTATTGTTACATTATCTTACTAATATATATTTTCTCATTCATCAGTCTCGCACACGTTCACACTTTTGTACAATAAATGCATATTATTCTTCTGGTACTGTCCTCTTCCTAAAACCAAAATGTTTTCGCGCTAGTTTCCAATAACTCTTTTATTCGAATAATATAATATATGTATAGCTGAAGCTAACATTGATGGCATGAAAGTAGCTAGCCTAAGCAGCGCAGCGTTCTTTCAGCATTTAAGCGAGTTGCACTGCACTCCGAGCTCAGTACACCAGCACTCCTGGCATGGAGTGGACAGTTCTGTTATGATTCTGCCTACTCGGTACATGCGGCCGTAAATATTGCACCCGGCCAGCTTCAGTATACCCGGCAGTGGCAGCGCGCTGGTCATTGGCTTAACTTCAGGCGTCACTGGTCGACGGCTAGTCGCTTCCTCTCTCCTCGTAGTCTCTGTCACCCTGGTACTTGTATATGGTTTTAGTGGAGTCGTATATTTTATAACAGGCTTGTAAGACACTATTGGTCTAAAAGGAGAGGCAACAGGTCGTGGAGTAGTTTTCTTGATCGCTGTCGCTTCCCCTAAAACCAAATGATCTATTCTGTTGACAGTATTCTGTGTGTAGGATTTCTTCGGTGGTATGTATTGGTGGGGCATCGGAATGAAGGGAACGAGGGGAAGCTCGGGAGGTGGTAACTCGGTCGTTGTAGACGTTTTAATGGTTGTCGGTGCTTTAGAAGTTAATGTGCTCGCTTTATTTTTTAGAGATGGAGCGGTGCTCGATTCGTAGTTATCGCTCAATAATAACTTAAGTACACTCCCAAATGAAAATCCTTCATCTTCATCCTCTTCGGACTCTTCTTCGGCTTCGGGATAGTCTATAGTCGAGGTGGTTGTCGTAAATGGTGTCGTCGATATTATATCCGTCGAAACCGGCTTTGAGGCTTGCGTAGTCACATCTATCTTTGTTGTAGAAGAATTCCAACTATCAGTTTCGATGGCAAGCTTCTCCGTTTTATTAGATAACACTGCACTTTCCATAGTGACGTTCGCTTGTAACTGTGTCTTCTTCTCTGTTGTGGACGTTGTATTTGCACTCAGCGATTTGGTCTCGTTTGTCATTATATTTATCAGAAGATTAGGTTTCTGTGTAGTTTTGTTACCTAAAATAGAAGTTGTGAGATTTATAGTCAAGTTATCTTATAGATCATTTAAATTTATTTAATAGCTTGGGTTTCTTTGTATTCTATAATTTTTTGTACATGGCAGAATCTTCTAAAACCAAAATGTCAGTATAGCTTGAGAGCTTATATATATTATACCTACAATAGTTATCTCAATTCTACCTCTTGTAGCTGGCTACATATATTATATTATATTATTAAATATAAGTAACTGAGATATCTAGATAAACGGTGATTTATTTAATAGCAGATTGGGTATACCTTTGTCACAAACCAGTTCACCACAGCACAAATCCACGGAGCTGGTGGTGGCGGGGCGCCTCACGCAGCCGAGCGGTACATGGCACGGACGCGGCGAGCAGTGCAGCTCACCCCACGCGCACGTGCATACCGAACATGCCAACGATATGGAATCACCCTCCAATACGTGACGGCCATCCCCAGAGACACATTCTCCTGAAAACGTAGGTTAAGGATTCAAAATCCCATATTATTTTGTAGTCATATTCATTGGACTAATAAATACCTACTACCTTTAGCTATGTCCAGTTGCATAGAAGTGGTGAGATGAGGCACGGGAGGTCCAGGTGGTGTGCTAGGGTAGACGGCGTAGTATTCTTCTATTATTCCTGGCCCTTTTGGTATGAATCCTCCTGAAATATGAAAGTGTTTATCTTGTCATATTTAATCGATGTTGCATTTACAATACTTTAATAATATTTATAAAAATCACCATTTTATCGCCAGAACTGGTGATATAGAATGAAAAAGAATCCCAAAAATATATAGAATACATGAAGCATCATATAAAAAGCAATTTTTATCTCAGTTAACTATATCTTTAGAAAATATAATACGGTTTTGTTATTTTCGTTAAAAGAAATTAATAATTATATGTCTCTATTTAAATATAGACAAATAGCTCAATAAAAAAATACGTATTTATAGAAAATATACATACCTTCTGTTTCTACAGGCGGCGAGAAAAGATTTACAGAAGGTGTTTCTACAGAGAACGTGGGACTGGTCATAGGCGATTTCGTAATAGCTTTATTAACATCTGGAATACTGTTCCCTGTTGCAGTGGACGATGTGTAATCATACTGAGGCATAGCTAGATCATTAGGTGCACTAGGATAGGTTACATCAGGCAAGTCGACCTTTTGTGTGAGCGATGGGTACTTAGATATTTCAGACTTTTCTGATACGAAAACAGGATATTGAGTCGGAGGATATACGTCTTTTCTCCTGTTAGCATATGGTATTTCCTTTGTGCCTGCAGAAGGGTAATAGACAGGAAATTTGTCTTCCATTTCTAAAATCGGATAAGTTAAAGTTTCATCCTTCGCCGAAACGTCATCATCTACAACGGCATCGGCCGCTACAAATGGTATTATCCTGAAAATAACAAATAAAAGTTAAACAAGCATTATTTCTCGCTTCATTCTTAAGTTTAATAACATTACTTACTTCAAGTTTGGCAATGACGGTGGTAAAGTCGGTTCAGTGTAGTCATAATCGTAGTCACCTTTACTCTTCTTGGAAGTATTCACAACACCCACGAGATCAACCGGCGTTGTCACTTTCGGCGTCGTTGATAAAGTTGAACCGGCACTCGAGTGACTATTGTTAGTTCTCAATGAACTAGTTACGTTAATAGTGAACATTTCATTTTCATCAAAATCTGCATTCGAACCTCTGTCTGTTATTATGTCGTTGGGATATTCCGTATACGCTTCTATGTCAACTCGGTTGATGGGTGTTCTCTGATGGGATTCTGTTTTAGTTCTTTCGGTATCATTTAAGGTTATATTGAGTGGAATAGATGTGGAAGACAGTTCCGCCGTGCAATTGATCGTACCATTGATAATAATTTTAACAGTATTTTCTGGTTGTTCCGTTGTAAAGATCTTGTCTAATGCTTCAGTGGTCGAAGTGATCACTGCAGTCGTGGTTTCCTTCTTTGTCGATGTCGTGGTGCTGTGCTCTTTTTTCGTTGTCGAAATAGTCATCGTAGTGGCATTTAGATTAGGCTGTTTAGATGTACTAAATGGAGGTGAATCATTTGTTTTTCTTTTCACTTTAGTAGTGGTGATGGGTTCTTTATTAGAGGCTGCAACCGTCGCTATGCTTTCGGTGCTGCTGAATGCAGTTGCTATTAATTTAGTAGTCGTTTCTCGCTCGATTAATTCGTCAGTGTGGAAAGACCGATCGTCGTATCTTGTAGACATTAAAGTATTGTCGGATATCGGCACAATATGAGGTGTGACCAATGCTGGAAATATGAAAATATTGAAATTAGAATACTTTACTCAATTTTATGTAGATCAATTACATTATTAATTTATTTAATCGTATGGCGCTTTATTTTGTGAGTATATTATAGAGAATATATGTTGTTGTAATTATTATTAATAAAATGAACTTACGATAGTGAGTGTTGTGAAAGGCATGCTCGCAGTGATACTGATGCGGACAGCAGTGTCCTGGTCGTAGCAGGGGCTTGCAGCCCAGCAGCGGTGGAGCGCAAGCTAGGGGCTGACATCGAATTTGACCACGCAAACAGAAACACTGAGTGCAGTTGGACTCTGATTCTGCAACGACTACTCGTTCCCCTTCTATTATTCTATCACCGTTCACTTGGCAATCTGGAATTAGATTGGAATTTTAAATCATGGTTGGTTGATTTAAAACCTTAAAACTGATATATATTGTGATATATTGTGGTAACCTGAAATGCAGCCGTATGTACAGATGTCGGCTATGATTTAAGTTTCGTTCAATGGTGGATTGCTCAGTGTCACTCTGATCATCGCGCCTTAGTATCGTGTAGTTTGGATAACCTAAAATTCTTTATAAGAAAATAACTAAAGCTCACCGTGAATATATTTTTGTTCGGGCGGTTTGGTGCTAACATGGTCGCAGTAGTACCGCTGCGGGCAGCAGGCGCCGGGCGAGGGTCTGGCGCGGCAGCCGGGCGGCGGCGGCAGGCAGCGGGGCCTCACGCAGCGGCGCGCCCCCCCCAGGCAGAAGCACTGCTCGCACGCCACCACCGAACTCATCGCCGACCCCGCCGAGTATACTGTGCCACCTTCCACGCACGCTGGAAACACTCGACATTCCATTAGCGGTCATCGAATCGGCCAAATGAACCATTCGTTTAATGCAGCCTATTCATACAAAAACTGAAAAATCTTAAATTTGTAAACTTTGTCGTCATTCGCCATTTTTTTCTAAGTTTTATGTTCGGTTCAGAGAATTTATTCTCAAAATATTAATGACTTATTTGCTAATAAAAACTTAATATAATACACTATATTTTGACGTAGGTCATGTCACAACATGAAAAAGAAACATAGTCACCCTCGGTAATTATTATATTTGTAATGAACATATTGTTGTGTAGATTATCTATCGTCAGGATATGGTCCGGTATTGTTAGACGGCTTATAAATTTTCGCAAAAAAATATCAAAGTAGAGATGTAATAGAGCGTTCAATAATATTTATTTCCTTTTTAGACAAACGAAGTAAACCCTTCAGGGCAGTGAAACAGGTCACAACTACGATCACATTATGATGCTTACCATGAGTTATAGAAGCAGGCGTGGCGATATCGGCGAAGTCGTCGTTTTCGAAGCGAGCTAGAGCACCGTGCTCCATCACTTTGACTCCATCTGGAATTTCACTTTGACTGTCATAGACCAATTCACCAAGCTTTTTTATATCTAAAGTTTCGCTTCAATATCGTTCTTCCTTTATTTTTAAGATTCATTTTCCTGTTGACTCTTAAGTAAATACTACAATTATTTCTATACAAATTCCATCATTGCTAAAGCCAATTTCAAATTTTATAAGCCTCTTAAGACCATCTTTCAAAGTAGAAGCATCAGTGACCATCAATATCTTGAGGATTTGTATTCTTCAATTATTACATTAAGGCAAGTCACCTCCAGCAGACCCTGTCACTATTTACACGCACCGGGACAATGCAGTTCTGGACAGCAAGCGCCCTTCTTGTGCAGCACGTGGCAGCGGCGCGGCGGCGGCTCGGGCAGGGCGGCGCACGCGCGGCGCCGGCACGAGAGCGCGCCCCGGGCGCACGTGCACCTGAGGCACGACTCGCGCGTCGACACCGACGAGCCCTCCGTGAACCAACGACCCTCGTACATACATCCGCGGGGCAGCTCCGGTACACCTGCAATAGGGCACGTCTTCATAAAACTATTGGCTGTATACTTAAACTTAAAACTACTGGCTGTATCACCGCCCGTTTCATTACATCTTTTTTTTCGAATGCGAATGTTATTAAGAATTAATTATCGTCGTCATTATCACCAGCCTGTTGATGTCGCCCCTGCTTGGGCACCAGGCCTTCCCTATGGATGGATTTAAATTGAATCAAAGAGGATAGGGAGAATAGGCTATGATCCACCACGCGGGCACAGTACACATTGATGGGTGTTAACGACTGCAGGTGTAGTCGGGACGAACATCATAACGTGTCTTGCAAGAATGGAGGAGCTCGAGATAATAAACTTTTGGTCACCCATCCCGTGACTGACCCCTGTGTACTTAACCTGCGCATAAGAGCCTATCACGCTAACCACTGTGCTATTGTGCTCCATAATACCAGACATAAATGTGTCCTTCTAAAAAAAAAATTCTGTTTGTGTACACTTGTAAATATATACAACTACGGTATATTATTCTACCGCTGTTTTGTCCTTTTACTTCAAAGCAGTATACTTATCTACTATTAATAATAATAGTCTGCCCAGAACCTGGGTGCGCCCATCAGCTTTAGTGTTTTATGTATAAATTAAAATAATACTAATGGTATACTATACTGTTGATTTAGAAATTTTCTTTTTCTGCTTCGATTATACTAAAACTTTTGACAACTTACCAAGAACTCTGTTGACCCGATTATTATGTGCGAGGAATCCCACTTGAAAATCTGAAATTATGAGGATCATATATCTGATGATCTGATCATATATGAGGTGATATGTATTTTTTCACTTTTTGTTCATATTAGGTTGGGGAAAAAGTCTTTTCGCAAATAGTATGCATAAACTTGTAATAAAATCAATGTAATAGAATCTTTCTGGCTACTATTTGTATCGGCGTTTAAAGAGGCTAGAATCAAACAATAGAAGGGGTGTGGTTTTTCATCATGATAACACTAGACCTGATACATCTTTTGCCACTCAACAAAAATTAAGAGAGTTTGGCTGGGAGATGTTTATGCATCCGCCGTATAGTCCTAACCTTGCTCCTTCAGATTTCTACCTGAGTGGCAAGTGTAAGTTTTACGCTAACGAGTTCACTAGTGAGCACGTTAAGAATTTGTATGGAGATTTGTAGTTCTTGGTAGTTACCGCTAGGGGCGCTGTACGGGATTCCATGCTAAAATCTAAACGCGCTCACGATCGACAGTGAACGTAAACGTCAAAAAATCTTACACTAAGCGCTCGGTTTCGATATCTCAAGGACTGCCAAAACCATTTGTTGCGGTTTTTTGATCAGAAGCCCCATAATTTTTATAGCAATGGGATCATGTCCCTACTTACAAGATGGCAGAAAGTTATCGAACAAAATGGCACCTACATACTTTATTTAAATATAAAGAGACTTTATTAAAAAATCTTTTGAATTTACATATAAAATGCGAAGAAACCATTTCCCCAACCTATTACAATTGTCGTAACGCTCAGATAATGCTTTGGATGAAACAGGTGCCTTTAATATTGTAATGTTTGTATACTTGACTATAATCGCCGATCGGTATCAATCATTATTTAATGAATTAATTATTCTGATTAATTATTTTTTGCATAGATTTTTGTGTGCTTTTATAATTGACATTTGACACGTCATTTCGTTGTTTATGTAATTGAATTTATATACCTATATTATTTGCCAGTGAGTAACACAAGATACGAAGAAATGCATTAGCGAAAAAAAACACAAATTTTGTAAACTATACCATAGGTTCTTCTTGAAGTATTCTTAAACCAAAAAAAGGCATAACTGTGTTCGACCTCGTGATTAATTAATCTATAATAGGTATAGGTAAGCTATAATTTCCAATTTCCCAAATATTATAAATGGCTTAATATAAAACCATCCTTTCCTTTTTTAATAGAATGGACATTTATTTGACAATGTACACAGTATAAATTTAAACTTCCTTCACATTTTTCTTTTATAGGAAAGTTATCTAACTAATTAACTTACAAACAAATAGCAACTATTATCTATATCTAGTTATAGTTCTCTATATCTTAATCATCAACAGCCGTACGACGCCCACTGTTAAGCATAGCCCTATGTTCTAAATCTGATTAGTATATCCTTAGTATAACGTAAGTACAGTGAAATCGTTACAATGTCTTACTGATTAGAGCGCATCATCAATCTTACAATCGTCAGATTTTACGATAAATCGAATGGTCACGACTTCTAAGATAAAGCCTAACTTAAGTTAAATGTTTAAGAAGATGCCGCATCTTAATATATAAAAACTTATTAACGTTGAACGAGTCAAGACATTGTTATTATATTATTTTAAAAATATTTTTCTTTAAAAATATACAGTGTTATTACAAAACAGACGTTAAACAGTGTTTTACCATGTGTTTATCTAAACTGTGTTTAAGAATATAAACCCTGTTTAAAATGATGTCTAACTTTCCCTATTACAAATTCATTTTTAAACATTGTCTAAGTAACACTAGTTCTTTCGAAGAAACATTCATTCTACTGGCTTTCATTCGTTCATACACGTTCAATTTTATGCACGCTGTATACAAACTTATAATAAATTTTAGACATTAAAAGATATCTTTATAAACACACTAGTTAATAATTTTTGTTAATGAAAATATTTAATCTAAAATTATCATTTTAAACTTAAATTCAAAGACATAATTCTATCAAAGTCAGAACATGTAAAACTATAGTGAAATATTGTGAAAGGTTAGATACTCGATAAACAACCCATGACATGTTTAAATTTTAAACAATATTTAAGGGTTGTTTTGCCTTAACCAATGCTTAAATACGATTGTGTAATAGAACAATTTTTAAACACGTGTTCAACGCGTTTTTATCTTTTTTGTAATAATAACACTGATAAAGTTTTTTAATGTTTAAAAATAATAAATTTTAGAAGCCATACATGTTACACCTTTTTACGTACTGACGTAACTTGTTACCATAATTTCCGCAACAAATCTATACATAGTATAAAATAGAGCTGATTGGCAGAGATCTTATAAACTAATGGATTTTAATACGCTTTATAACAACAGATAAAGTGATTCAAGAGGAAGAATTTTATGTACAATACAAGACCACGCAGTCAAGTGGAAAAAATGACAGTTGTACATAACCCGACATGTTAGTAACTATACTTTGGTAGTTTAAAATTCTCTTTATATTTTTTCTAAATGTATACGAGAAAAAATTGTTTGGGAACCTCTGGGCCATACGATTTTACCCAAGTACTACGCGATTCCAAATAGTTCTTAATAACGTCAACGCCAAGTTACAGTCTTCTATTCTAAAGTGTATGTATATATTCGTATCTAACTTTTTTTTATTTACGATTTTGTGAAGTCCATTTTTACTTTTCCCGGGTTTCGGCACCATATGTCGCTTGTAGGATGAATTAAGACAGTTGTTGCAGTAGAACAAGAATGTGTTAAAACATACATTACTCAATACCTACATCAAACCAGATAAACGTAGTGCTTGCGATAGTTAGAAAAGAGCAGCGCAAAATGAATAATGTAATGATGTAAATTAATATGAATTAGCGTAATATTTTGGACAATACAGTTTGTGTAACTTTATTAATTTTATTATTGATTCGTCCAAAGTAACTCCCATATTTAAAATTTTATTATTTCCTTTACACATTCATGTTTGTATTACCAACTTAAATAAGCTAGATAGATAGATTATTTTTTCCTTTTGACGTACGAAACCATAAAATAATAACAATGATCTACCCAATTATATATAAAACATAACAAGGCGTCGAAGACAGGTATTGAAACATTCGCTTTTAGTTTTATTGCGGACTGGACTCGGCTTATGGCGGTCATATCGATTACGTGGGCATATCGTCGGGTATCGATAATCGATGTAATAACAGAAAGGATACACGTGTGGGAACGTTGAAATTTCAATGAACGAAATACCAGTGTCGTCGTTTGTACAGTTAAATACAAATATATACATAGAGGTTATATTTGGTCAATTTTTCATTCACATGCTATATTAGAAGATATTCTTAATAAAAAATGCCACGGCTGTTTGGATGGATTACCTGAACATTGATGAAGTAGCGAAAAGTAACAAGTGCTTGAAAAATTCGGGAGTTCTGTTAGGTCCTGGGTGACTCAGTGGTTAGAGCAGTCGCCCGGATTAATATGAATATTACAACAGCTGACAATACTATACTGATCAGCAGGTCTACTGCATAACAAAATAAACTTCATTAAGCTGCTAATGACGTCGAATTGAATTACTTCTGAACTTGTAGCTATAGCGTGGCATTGTGAGCCTGAATTACTTTTGATTTTATTTGAAGTTCGACTATAGATACTTACACAACACGATCTTTAAAAACAGGCAAAGCTTCCTACAACAACACTCAAAACTACCCAAAATATCATGGCCGCTGTATTCAAAAGTATAGAATTTTCAGACCAGCTTTATCTAAGGAGCTACTTTTGTGATCAGTGGATAATTTACATTTTAAGGGAGTGTTTTATTTTATTGTGATTTGTGAAACTGAACGAGTCTAACATCTATCTATGGTAATATACCTGGATGCTTAGTACATTAATGTTGTTTTTGATTTAGGGGGTACGGTGTTTGATTTGCAGAATGAATGTATTGGCTGTATATGTGATAGCCTTTAAAAATAATTACTTATCAAAAAACTATGATAATTTTATGAGACCTCTTGACCAATAATCATTTAAATTCACAAGGTGGTCCTATAAACATTTCAAAAGGCATTGCAGGTTTCCAAACCCGAAAGAAAACAATGTTGGTTTCGAAATATAGAGCCTTAAGATATCTTTTGTGATATCGAAACAGATTGTTATCAAATGAAATACAAATATTATTTACAATTCATTGTCCAGATTCCAAGA